AAGAAATCTTATGTTTTTGGAACAATAACAATATTTGTTGGTAATCTGTTGCTAAGAGACGAGTATGTTTTCTGGTAACCAACTGCCTATAAGCAGTTGGTATCTGCTAACCAATTGCTTATACACCAATTTTAACATACTGAATGGAGTAAGTCCATGTTGCTCAACATACTTGCGACTCTCCACAAGCATGTTGAATACAATGTACTCACTATTGAATGCATTGTAGCTTACTTTTGCATTGATGCTAATTTTTAGCGTCAGAATGGTGGGTTCCAACTGACGGGCACACTTTAACAGGCCCCGTTTAAATTTCTTCAGACATTTTCTAGTCTTTACTTGTGATTCCTCACTGTAATTGTTTCTTGGACACAATTTGACACCTCTTGCTTTTTAAGTAACTTAAGTTGGTCCTTTCAACAACTTGCATCTCACAGGGCCACAGAGTTGTAGCTGTCAACAAATTATTTCTTGATGCCACTCAGTGCGTAAAACACGTTGGTTAGTCCTTAAAGGTTACTTAATTCTAACCTTAATGATGAGATGGTTGTTAGATCGGTTAACTTATTGATAACATTTTTTAGGCTATTTATCTCAAACACAGAGGAATGCAGACACACTTTCCAGCACATTATTTTGTGTAAACATGATGGAGGAAATCATGTGATTCAACCAAGTGGCCTGTATATGTTCACACATATTTTATACCGACAAAAACAAGACAACATACTTCACTGTGAAACTGTACATGTAAACAAAAGACAGTTCAGATTTTGACTTTTTTAGAGGCTCTGTCATCACCTTGGCGTGAACTGTGTTGTGTTCTCATCTATCATCTTTGGGTTGTTGAAGCTTCCCTTGAGAATATGGTTTTAGTTCTTTTATATAACTGGTAAATTTGGTGGAAGTGTAGAAAACGGTCCTGTTTGTATTTTTGTTTTCACAAAATAGGCAGCCACACCCTGCTGCTGCGTACTCTGGGTCATCATAGATTTGTGGTAATTGTGTTTCCATTTTAAAGAGGAGTTGCTCCAAAGGCTCTTTTTTTTTTGTTTCAGAAAAAGTGCATTTTAAAAATGTTTTTGGTTTGGTGACTTTAAGCTCTACTAAAATATGGTTTAGCATTTGTTGGTAGTCCTTGTCCTTGTTTTCCCTTTGATATCTTCACCTTGCCCTCCTCTTATTCCATTCCTTTTCTTCTGCTATTTTCCATTTGTTCTTCCAGTCTCATTTAAATAAAACATCTCAGGACTTTCCCTTTTCAATTACACACTCAGGTCATGTTTAAGCTCTGGGTCCCTGTGCTTACTCGAGCTCCTCTCGCCCTCTGTCGTGCTCTCGATCATTGTCTCTCTGCAGGGAATTATATGCTTCTAATCCATCAATTAATGATATCAGCGCATCGTTTCTCTGCTCCATTAGGAGCCGTGTCATCATACGACTAAGTATATAACCCCTGTAGCCGCCTGAGCCTTAACTAATATCAGATCCAATCTGCTCCTCCTGCTATATGCCTGTACTTTGCACCTTTGCAAAGAATGGGATTTCTGGACTTGTTTTCCTTACAAGGAATTATTATTAGCTTTGGCAAAGTATGTCAAATGAAGTAAGTAAGATTCTTTCCAACAAATTACTTTATGTCCTAAAAGTCATCTTCATTCTGAAGCTCCGTTCATCAGGCAGACATTTTATAATGTGTTGCCGTATGCCTTTTATCCTTTTTGCACTTTGTCATGTTATGACCGCAACGTTTTATGTAACTTAATTGAATGCTGAACATCTGATGGGGAAATGTTTGTGGAGTATGGGACTACTGAAAACCTACCAAGACATAGTCATCGACCTAAACTCACAAGACAGAAAAGGAGAACATCAACTAGAGAAGCAGCCAAGAGGCCCATGGTCACTCTTGAAGAGCAGCAGTGACCCACAGCCCTCATGAGACAATCTCTTGTCAAAATAACAATTAGTCATGCGTGGCTAAATGTAAGAAAAGTTGGGCTTCCAGAAGACAAGAACACCAACTGTACCACCAGAACTACAATGTGACATTTAGATTAAAGCATTCCATTGTGTTTGAATGACCCAGTCAAAGTCCAGATTCAAATCCAATTTAAGTCAGAGGTTTCTGTGTCTAGTGGTGGCAAGGGAAAAGGATACATACCCTAAAAGCCCCTCTGTAATTGCACTGAAAGGTGGATCTTCAAAAAACTGACCAGCTGAAGACAATGCGCATTTTTTTCAGCCTGTTTATTCAGTAACTATTTCCCTGTCCATGTCGTACCCGGCCTCTCGCCCAATGACCAGCCCCTCGTTCCTGCATGACTAAGTCGGGAAAGGCAATTGACGGATGGTTGGATAGAGGGATGCCATGAAAGAGAGTGCATTGTCCCCCGCGCTATCATTAAAACAGAGGCTGAAAGTCCTAAAAAAGGGTTAAGCTTTATTTCTCTCAGATGTTAAGTGCTATTCATTTGTTGAACACATGAGTGATGGCAATTACTAGCACAGATGTCTGTTCAACATCCCTGATGATTGCAGGATCACACTGTTGGAAATAATGAGGTCTTGTTTACTAGAGATTGCAGACGAAAAAAAAAAAAAAAGAAAAAAAGGAAATAGCTTTGAGTCCCACAAAAGTTGCCTTCGCTGAGATTCCATACCACAGCCAAAGGTGAAACACTGTAAAGCATTGCAGTTAATAAGGATGTTTCAGTCACACTGAGGAAGAAAGCCATAGAGGGAGATGGGGTTTTATCTGTCGGAACAAAAAGCTGGTTCTGATGGTTGTAAAAGATTAATGTGGTGTTTAGTCAAGAGTTGCCTCTATTAAAATTTCCGTGCCCGACCACGGTTTAGTCACTGAACATCCTCTTGGACCATGCGAATAATCTCACACTCAGATGCCTGTGATCAAAAAGAAAACAAAAAAAGAAAAAAAATCTAAAACACATAAACTCACCCAGGGGAGAGTGTTCCATTCACTCCGGAGAAGGGCCCATCAATATTTTAACGGCCTCAGCCTGGCCCGTGGGTGAGCATGCCAGCCTGGCAGACTGTGTGCTAATTGAAAGAGAAAGGGGTACACTGATTGTACAAGGCCATTCTTTTGAAGTGGGCCTCCTCTGCGTTAAATGTTTCAGCAGCGCCTTGTCGGAGTGCTTCCGGCGCCGAGTCTGAGGCCACCCTCCCAGGGAGAATCAACAACACCTGGGTGGCTATTCGTCTAGTCAAGACAGGACTCGGCTTTGTCTTGTCAGCACAATGGAACGACTTAATTCTTAGGTTTTCATTCAAAAGCGGCTTCTGGGACAGAGAAATAATTCATGGCTTCTATTGTTGGAGCACGCCATCTATAGGGATAGATTAAGTTAATGAGAAGTCGTCTGTGGGAGAATGTGACGCAAGGGAAGCAGACAGGGACAGAAACACAGCACCTTTGGGTAACGTTAGCAGAATTAGAGTTAGCACATAGAATAAAATTGAATCAATATAGGTTGTTCAGCAGGGATCCCACTGCTTCAGTTATATAATTTGGCTCATATTTCTGCAGTGTAGTTATATTGAAATACTGGGATCTTAATGGCAAGACTTCCATGATGTTCTCATTGCATTGTTTATGTCATAGTCCGGTCAATTCCTCTAGAATCCTTAGTTAATTCAAAATCCTAAGTCTCACTTTTTTTTCCTTTACAAATAAACATACATTAAATCAAAATTGCTTACTTGTTATTTAGCACTATTCTTATTTGTTAGGAAGGTGTGTAAAACATTATTTCTTTGTATGATAAAGACATGAAAGCCTGAAAAAAAGTTAGAGAGAACATTGACAAATACCAGAAGTTTTGGAACAATGTTCTTTGGACTTTTGAGTCTAAAAGATAACAATGTAAACATTAGAATAGGTGTTTGGCAAGAATCAAAGTATTCCGGAATGGAGAAAAAACAACAACAACAACAAAAAAAACAACAACAAACTCATCATCTGTGAAGCATGAAGTGGGACATGTCATGGTTTGGGAATGCTTTGCTGCAGCACGAGCTAGCCAACCGTCTCAGAGTCAGGTTGAACAGTGAGTTCAACCTATTACAGGGTGAATAAAATGTAACATTGTCCTTTAACACCCCCATGTATTGTCTGAAAATTCCTGGGCCAAATCAAACCCCAGATTTTGATTTCATTCATGTGCTGTGTGGTTACTCAGTCAGAAAAAAAAAAAAAAAAACCTTTTTGTTGATATTTTCACTTTATTTAGTAACACAAGGTCTATTTTTGATTGAGTGAGTGTAATTACATTTTCTTATGCTGAGACATGTATAGAAGATTAGACTGTATGTAATATTTCTTTTGAAACAAATTGCTATTCAATTACGGGTTCTAATTCTTTCACATAGCTGAACATTCAGTACACTATGTAAAAGAAGTTAAAGCACTAGCGTCAGTGTTTTGATGTTCATATTGTCAGATGATTCGACTCGTAAAAGTGATATTTAAGCAGTAGTCTGCTGTTGTTTACCTATATCTATGTGATTGCTCCTCGTTTAGAATCTGTACCTGTTCCGTGAGTTCAGAAGCTATCAGTGTCCAACAAGTTTGTTGGTTTTGAGATGTTATAAAAGTGCCTTTTTCGGAGCTACTTCTTCTGTCTGCTTTCAGGCAAACATCTGCAGCCTGAGTCTATGGTGGTGCATTTTTTTTTTTTTTTTTTGCGAAAAACATCTCTCGTCTTGCAGACAAATATATGTCCTAAAAGCATATACGTGCTTTTAAAACAGTAAAAATCAAGTATGTGTTTGACAGGGTTTTAGGTTATCCAAGCAAAACTTTTTAAGCTAAGCTATGAATCAAAATATAGCGTGGGGGGTTAAACAGTGGTGAAAACGATCCTCACAGAACAGGTACTCAAATGTTCTACAGCAGCAAACGCACCACCGTAAACGCTGAAACTCATGATGAGGCTGATGAGTTTCATCTGTTGGTACACAGTCCTTACCAGTTGGTGGCGGTAATGCTCACCTAAACGTTTCTTGCCAACAGCCAATAAATTTCAAGAAGAAGAGGACACCGCTGGGAGTTTTGGAAGAAAACCGTTTTGGGCCAAATTTTTTTTTTTTTTTTTTTTTTTTACCTTGAAGAAAACACACATTTTAAAAACAATGCTGAACTGAAAACCTGCCACTACTCTGGACTGAGCTGTTGGGGCTACCAGATGAGAAGCTGCTTTCCAGAGGGATAAGTAAAATGTAGGTCCAGGTGAGCTAATCCATTGTTTTCTCATGCCTGCCTAAACCAGCTCTACAGCTATCACTCCTAGGAGCTTTCCTGCACACAAGCTAATTGTATTGTTGGAGTTCTTTATTCCATTATTCTGATTTCTGCTCGTCCATAACACTTACTGCTAAGTAATGGAGACCATTCTGAGCCTGTTTTTATATTGCCCCAGCCAGAGTTCAGACCCTAAATCTGTGGAGTCTCTTGAAAAAGAATTACAGACAAGATATGTTTTTACAATCTGCTAGATTTACAAAACTTCTGCCCAGGACTGTGAGTAAATATTGTCCAGTCAAGATGTGGGATGCTGAGAGTCTTGCCAAACACAGGATTGAAAGCTGATATCGAAGAACAAATTGCTTCAACAAAACATTAACAATGGGTATGCACATTTAGACATATTTTAAACAAACATTTTTCCTCTTATTGCCAAATTAAAAAAAAATATTTAAGCTGTTTATAAATTAAGTAGAACTTCAGTTTGAATATAGCACATAAAATACATAACTTTATGTGTTCAGCATAAACATGAACAAAACTAGGCAAAGCTGATCATATTTTAGACTGATAAAACACAGCAAAATTCAATATGCTTAGTATGTGTGGAATGCGCATCAACAAGCAATTTTTAGATACTTGTGTCACCTTGGTTTCATATAGGACTGGAATCTGTTTGGGGCTAATTTATTGAAATAAACTTGTTTGCAAGGGGTCATGGTTCAAATGTCCAATGTTCAAAAATTTTATATATATATTTTTTTACATATGTCTGTTACCAAAGTGTTTTCTGGCACCACTCTACCAACTGAGGTGCACAAAGAGCCAAAATGCCTCATTGGTCTACCAATAGAGGATTTTTGTACCATTTCAAGTGTTGCTGGAGTCCTCACCATTACATATGTTTCAACCACTGAGCAGTTTTTTGTAAAATTCTTCATGAACGGCATGCAAACACATGGGCATGCATACTATACAATTTGTTTCGGTAGCAACTGCATTTACTCTTGCTCCTTTACGGTTGTATGTCTGCTGATTCAGTCAATCCCCCTGGGATCTAATGTCGAACTGATAGCTGTCCATCTTCCTCCTTCTTTCCTTTAACCTCTCAGTCTTCTTCTTTTTGACTTCTAAACTGCTGCTACCAATTTTCTATTGTCAGCAAGCAGAGTGAAATAGGTATTTGGTAAGAGACTAGTAAGAAATGAGAAGGTCTCCTTTTTTTTTAACCCTCCTTCCATCCACAAACACTGGTAGCAGGCTGAGTTTCCACAAACCGTACAGAGTGTAGCCTTTAGGGGCTCTTTTTGAAGTTGAGCCCAAGGATTACCATGGTTGCTTTCTCAGCAGTAGCAAACCTGTGTCTGATTCCTGAGTTTGCAGGAGAGGCAGTGGAAAGAGGAGGAGGAGGAAGATGTACAGGGTGCTGTGAGAAGGGATGGGGAGTTAAAAATCCCTGGGAGATGGAAGGGGTTTGTGGGGGGGATAAAAACAACCCTTGCATGCTGACAGAGATGGTGGCGATAAGAGAGCATGCACGTACACGTCTGTCCTTCCAAAGAGAAGATTCATGACTCACTAATTAGTCAAGAGCTTGTTTCATTATCTAACAATGTTCAGCAGTGATTCAGGCGATCGTGTTTCTGCCCCATGCAACGTTATGTCTCATCTCCTTTATATGTGCCATGACCTTTAAACATGTAGAACGACGATCTTCTGAAAAAAAAAAAAGAAGGTACAGTCATGAGAATTGAATCCCTCCATAACTAATAATGGCAGTCATTGTGTGCCTGTGCTTTCCTTTTCTATTTGCTGCTATGAGGTGACAATGGGCAACACAGGTTGGCGGACTTGTCAGCAAGTGAGTGTTTGTGATTAATAGTGTTTACAAAAGAACTATGCATATTTTAATTTTATAAGTTCACATCCAACTCTTAACACTTTTATATTTTTAATTCTGCTGATGTAAAAAGAAGTAAATGCATTTTTCAGCCACATGGCACAATCAAGTACATTATTTTCAGCTATAAAAATTATTTACATGACAATCAACTTAAAAGAAAATTTCCTTCACAGTTTGAAAGCTTGAAATTGGACTCTCTCTAAGAAGCCTCTATCCTTTCCGAAACTCTGCCTTCAGGACGTCATCACAACAATGCCTCTCATTGGGAGTGTTGGACTGAGAAGTAGTTTGTATGATAAGCGAAGGCTTGCAGTACCACTCGGTGTTGGTCAATTGCTGCTGGTGCTTGTCTGATGGAGCTGTTTGAGGAAGGCGTGGGGAGAGCTGCACTGAGGCAGCAGCTCGGCTAGAGACTTTGTGGGATCAAGCATTTCGGACCCTCGATGGCTACGTGACTCAAGGATTTCTCAAACATGTATGGAAGAATCAAAGCAATACTCTTGTTTTTGATGAGGGAATAACATGATAAAAATAATGCTCCCCCGCCCCCATTTAAATAAGCTCGTCTTACTATTACAATTAATGTGCGGTTACTGTTTTCTTAAGACAAATTCATTCTGCAAATTGAAAGGCCATCAGATTTCAGCAATCTCTCTCTAGTTGCTGATATATTATAACCATACCATCAAAAGCTGATCTTATCAATATAATTTTGTCAGGTGACAGACACAGGCTAGAGGCTCGCAGATGAGGTTGAAGAAATAAAGACGCGTTGCAGGTTGAACATAGTGACAAATTGTACGGTGTTGGCGGCTCACACAGGCGATGGAAGCAAACCGGCCAGGTGGAGATGTTGGTAGCGAGACAAGAGCTTCACAGGTGAAGCATAGCTTGTAACAATGTGCTAAAAGCAAAGTTGGCTAAATATTTAGCTAAATTGTATGAAGGCTTCGGAAGTAAAGGGTCTAACCATGTGTAAAAGCATATTTTGGTAAGAAATGCTACTAAGCAGTGAGTTCATGAACATAGTAAGACCCACACAGTAGGGAGGGGGTGACATGATGTACATTATTTGGAAATATGAATTAAATTATAGCTATTCCAGCTTTTGGTATGTTTTGTCTCAGCTGCATCAGCAGCAGCCAGGGTCAGCAGATGCTCAGGCAGTGAAGGAGTACAAGATGGAAGAGCAGGGCCAGATCAGATAACTCTGCCATATCAGCGCAATCGAAAAGAAATGGCAGTTCAAAACCAGCGAGCGAAACGCTATATTTCCAAGAGGAATTGTTTAAGGAATTCCATTAAATTCACTACAGTCAGTGTTTGTATTTAAAAGATACTAGATTGTGGTTTTATACATATTTTGAACTTCACATTGTTTTGTATGGTAGATGTTCTGGCACTGATCAAGTTGTTCAAGCCGATGCTTCAATTTCTTCCTTGAGGACGACGGCCCTGAAAGTAAAACTAAATCTCCAGTAGGATTGTCAAACTGTACATTTTGTGTTGGAATGCTCCAGTCAAAGTTCAGACGGAAATTCAATTGAGAATCTGACAGGCTGTCCAAAGGTGGTAGAAACAACCTAAAAGACTTGGAGCTGTAACAGCAGTGAAAGGTGGTTCTTTTCACATTTTTTGCATGTAAGAACTAGTCAAAACAACAGTTTCTTTCCACTTCACAGCTATATACAGTACTTTGGAAAGTTCTGGAGGCATCATATAAGCAAAGCTCATTTAAGTACTATATGTTGAAGAACTAAATATTCTGTTTCAGAAGTGAGCTTGATGATGCATCCACATCTTTTATACATGTATTCTTTTTTTTTTTTTAACCATAATTACCCTGTAACTGATTCTTATTCATTCATTAGTGCTCAGATATCACAGCTATTTACCTCTTTAAATCATGTTCCAACCTTTACAAGCCATTATTTCAGATGAATCAGAAGATCTGAACAAGATGGCAAGTATTTTTGGATGCCGTTTTTTTCTCTTCTATTTTTTTATTTATTTATTTTTTTAGGTTGTGATGAACTGGCACTTATCAGTTAAGTTGCAACACTGGAATAAAACTGTAGGAGGACAAGGAAGCTTTTCAAGAAACAGCACCTTGGTGGTCAGATAGCCCTCTTGACACAGATTTTTGCCAACGTGTTCAGACCAAGGACAGGCTAATTAGGATGCTTAAACTTCTCTTTTGGGTGATTTGTTTTTCAAAACCTGGATACAACTTCCCTCCTACGCCCCAGTAAGAAACGAGATGCCACTAATTGCATCAACTGGGGTTAAGTAACTTGTTGCCAGCTGGAGGACTGTTGTCCATGCAGTAGCTGTCCAACATGAGGCTCGTATCTATTTGCTCAGTTAACTTCAGATGGTGATTTATATATATTTTTTGTTTTGTTTGTTGGCCAGGCAGTAGAAATCTGACTGAATCTATTTTAGTCCATCGACATAGGTTGAGGTACATCTTAATGCTGTAAATGACAACCGTATGTTAAGTATGAACAATAGATGACAGCAAAATGCTTTGGATAGGATCTTTAGCAAAAGACGAATATGCATCAACAGGGATTTTGGCTGAATGGAGAGTGGAAACAGTCAACATTAGTAATGGGAAATGGCTGCCTGTTTATCTATGTAAAGTTCTGTGTGGACATTGACGAAAGCACGTGTTTGGAACATGACTGGCTTGATAAGTGATGTATAAATGACCAGAGAGCACTCGGAGAGAGGCTTGTCTTTGCAGATTTGTAGCAGAATCATTTTCTTAAAGTGGCTATTGAGCTGACCATGAACTCTTCCGTATGCCATCAGCGGGAAATGATCTACCAAAGACAGAAGTGGAGCTACAGCATGACCAGAAAGGAGAAGAATCGAGATTTTTCATTGACCCGATCAAAGTCTAACTTTCAGCCTGGCTGGAATACGATACCGAGATCTTCAGAGAGTTGTGCACCAATAGACGTCTGCAAACCTCAATCTGTTCAAGCAAGGTTGTGAGGAAGAGAGGGGCAGCATCTCCCTGTGATGATCAGGTAGGAAGACGATTAGCAGTTACCATAGTGAAATGAATGATGGGTTAACTTTAGTTTTTTCATTAATGTTTTTTTTAAAGAAAATGTTACTCTGTGTCTGTCAGGACAGAGGGAGGGATGGAGAAGCTCTTGGCTTAGTCGATTTGAAGTCGTCTTCATGTTGTTTGTCACAGCATCCATGACACAAAGCGATGCATAACAAGCTGAAAGATGCCACGTGCGACGGTGTGTAGAAAGGGAGAAGGAGACCGCGCACTGAGAGAAACGCGTTAACTCAGAAGGAGACGTAGAGGACATCTGCAGGAATTAAAGGGGGAAGGAAAAAAAAAAAGACACTGGGAGTTTCCGTGCAATTGTACTTTCCCTGATAACATCAGTTGATTTTATTACAAGACGTCTGCTAATATCTTTTCTGTCACCTTAATTTTCATTCCTCACCATATCGCCAACATGGCAAGCAGAGCTAATGAATTCGACTGTGAATGAAGGAGCGAGAGGTGGCAGGGAACGAGGGAGAGCTAGAGCAAGTCATCCTGCGAGAAGAGAGCATATTGCATACTGAAACAACTCCTCCAGCCACTGACTTGGAAATGAGTCACAGTGCTCCGCTCGACTAATAAAATCTACAGCATGTGTTAGACTGTTTCTCCTTGTTTAACACCAAGCCAGAATGTGTTGGGTCATAACAATGAGGTGGTAAAAATGTTCTAAATGTACTTCCCTTGTGGAGCTCGGAGAGAGTTTTGAATTTTGTCTTCGCCAGCAGAGGGGGGTAATGGTACACTGAAGAGTTGGACTTGCTTTATGGATATCTCACTCTTGGAAGATCACTTAGGAATGCCTAATTTGGATTTAAGTAGAAAACAAATGCGCCCTTCGTGGTTTTTATTTTCTTATTTTTTCAAACCTCTGTTCTTGAGTCATGTGAGGTTGAAACTGGTGGTGCTTTTCAGGCTTGTTTGTTTTGTTTGTGGTTGCGTTTGCTGCATCTTTGATTTTTCAACATCAAGAGAGCTTAATGGTCATTAATCCAGCAAGGTGGGAAGACGCAAAGCATTTTCTGAATTTACATACCTCACTCATATTACACAGAGCCCTCATGCTGACTTTTCTCATATTGGGTTTTACTTGAAGCATTTTTTAAAATTTTTTTATGAAAACCATGCAGCGAGAGGGTTTTTGGTGTTTGCTTATTGATCGCGCAAGTATAACACCATCAAAATATGAGACAACTTCAAGCTCAGCAGTGCTGACAAGCAGGATTATGTGCTAGTTAAAATCATTCTCGTTCTGTAAACAAACCAGTGCTGGAGGGGAACTCCATAGCTGCAACATCTGCCCACACTACATAAAATGGACAATCTCCTTCCAGATGCTGCCTCTGATCTGCTCAGAATCCTGAATTCTTCATCGCTGATTTGTTTGGAGATCAATGCAAAAGGCAGTGCATGATTGTGAAGTGTAAGGAAAATCATGCATATAGCTGTTAAAATCTTTAACGAATAAAAATGTCTGAAGCGTGATTCACATTGGTATTCGGTTCCCTTTCACCCTGATAACAATACATTTCAACTTGCCAGTTCAAGCGGCCAGTGATCAGTTTTTGAGGTCCACCTGTGTGCGATTTCATTTTAGTGGTCGTGCAACTGTTCTGTGACGGCCTCAGAACTTCAACGAACAAGAAGTATATTGTGGATAAGTTCAAAGTAGCTTATAAAACTGCCAGGTTCTGAACATCTCACTGATCACCTTTTCACAAATAAATCATGCATCCAAAAGGTGCATACGAGTGGCAGAGTCATGTTGTGGGTTTACACACTCATTTAGATGAGAACCTGTGACCAATCTCAACTTGAGCTAATATGCGAAGAAAAATCGGGGGAAAGTTTCAGCCTATCTGTCCAAAGCTGGTAAATGAAGTCTTTGCCTTCAACAGAAAACCTTCAGCACCATGTAGGATTGGAAATGCATATCTACCCCATATTTAGTAAGAGGGCCCTTTGGACCGTCTATTTTATTCAGTCGCTGTCAAACGTGAAGCCATAGGGGAGACTAAGCGTTGAACAGGTGCCTCGTGTATGGAAGCTGTCAGTCCTTGTTGCAACCAGCCCTGGATTTGAGTCTTGGCCTGTGGCCATTTGCCACACGTCATCCCGGCATCTCTTCGCCTGCTTTCCTGTCTACCTTCCATCAGGATATTTCTATTTCAGGGCTTACGTTATGCCTTTGGATAGCAATAGAAGTTTAAGGTTTTTAGTAAGAGTATCATTCAGTAAATTTGCATACTAGTTAGAAGAATAGCAAGTACACAAATTTAACTCTCCTTACAGAGGGCAACCTAAAACATCATTAGGTTCAATACTGGACCGATCCTCTCTTCTTTTCCTCCAGATTGTTGGGCTCTAATTTCCGTAATTAGTAATATGTGCTTTGCATTATCCAAAAACAAATTTTGAAAAATCTGCACTGAAGTCACTTTCAGCAGTTCCACTCCATTATCTAAAAATGGTTCTTGGCACATTATAGGTTTTCAACATCAGAGAAACACCAGAAAACTTCGGTTTTTAAGGTAACCTTAGACTATTAATTGAGATTTACCATTAGTTATTCTTTCAGAAGTGAATTTTTGCAGATGTGATGTTGGTGACCACCACCACTACAGCTTCAAACTATGTTTTAAATTTGAAGGCATCTCTGCCTCCTTTGCTAATGCTTTGTTTTTATATATTTTTTGTAGACCATTATCTTTTGTGAAGCTTTTAAATATTGTTTTTTTTTTAAGTAGTGAAAACTGAAAAAATAAAAATAGATTATCTGCTGACATTTTCACCTCGAGCTCATAATATTGTGTCCCTAGTATTTTCCTAATTCTCCAGCATAATTATGTTTTCAGAATAAACCTTAGATCACCTTATGTGCTTTTAAAACACAGTATTCAGAAAAGGGTAAAACCGATGACTTCATATTTGGATATTATGAAAGAGGTGAAATCTGTTATGTTAATTTTATTCCTCTGAACTCTTGGACCACACTTTGCCTTTGCTCAAATTTTTAATACATTTCTAGCTGTTGAGTTAATGTACACTTTTGCTGTGCAGTGAAAAGGTAAATCTCCCTTTGTTCATCAGTTCTGTTTTTACTTTCTCACAATTAAATGTTTAAAATAATATCAAAGATAACCCCAGGGAATTGGGAGGAAAAGAACGTCTAGACATCCGTGGCTTTGTGCCAAAGAGAATGCCTCGACGCAATACATTTTTATTAACCACGTGTTTTGTGAACTCTAGTTTAGCTTCACTAAAATATGTAGAGGTTGGGTTTTTGCCAGGGAAAAAAAAAAAGAAGCAAAATTCAACCTGACAACATGAAGCAGGCTAAAGGAATAATCTAAAGAAATAAGATGAACAATAAAGATCTGTTATTGACTATTATTACTTTGGAGAATGTCACAAAGACATTTCTAATGTCTCTGGGTATCCAGTGAAACACTGGAAGAGCCACTATGCACCAAAAGAAAGAAAGTTGTAGGAAATGGCATCCAAAATGTTCCCTATAGTTAAATCCATTACTGACTCCCATAAAAACGCAATGATCAAGAATTTTGGGGAAACTGATGCAGCATTTAATAAAAAATAAAATAATAATAATAATAAAATCATCCCAGTTGTCAAACATGGTGGTGGTAGTATGATGGCCTGGAGCTGCTTTGCTTCTTCAGGACGCAAATGAATTCTGCTCTGCCACAAAATCCTGCAGAACATCTGGTCATCAGTTTTTTACCTGGAGCTCAAAATTTGTCCCTGTGATGTGAAAGACTCATTGTCAGTCATTGCATACTCTTGATGGCAGACGTGGAGCACAGCTCTCTTTCCACATAAGGACCGATTTAGATCCCCCGCTCCCCCTTCACATTTGCTCTTTGTTTTTAATGAGATTATTTTTGTCTAATGTTAAAAACAAAAATAAGCACAAGGCTATGCATCATTTTCCAATGCACAGCTTATTACATATAGTTAACTGCAGCAACATTATCGAATAATTCCAGACACAATGCTTCATCTTCCACAATATAAGCTCTGTGACTTCCCTTACAGAGCGATATTATTGATCTCCTGCACCAACATGGGGAGAGAAATAGCGAAGCCGTCCTTCTCAGCTTGTCCTGGAGAGCAGTGACCGCAGAAACAGCACAGCTGTTCAACGGTACATGATTTCATTTTTTCCCCCTCCTTTGTTTTGCCTTTGTCTGTCTGCCCTCATCCCTCTTGTCTTCTCTTCCGGCTGATTTAGCTTGTCATGCGTTTACCTCGGTTCAGCAAAGTAGTCTCAATGAAACCATGGCATATCTTGTAATAGTCCACTGGGTGCTCTACGACTGCATCCACCTCATTGGAATGTCCTGTTAAAAAAAATATACATATACAGGATTCATGTTCGGTGTGTGAATTAATCTATGGGCTGATCTCATGTTTAGGCAGCTGTATGTTTTGTTCATTGCAAGTCAGGAAAAACTCATATTGAAGCTCTTCATGTAGGGATCCGGTTTCATTTTATGGCTTTTGAGATCTTGTCTAACCTCGACGACGTTATGCAAGTAGTTGAATTTCCACAGCAAGAGGAAAAAGGCAAAAGTATCATCATATACGGAGGCACACAGGCCAAACATGTCTTGTACTATTGAGTTTATATACAAAATCAAATCGGTATTGTTAAATACTCAAACTATTTCACATTTTAAGCTTTAATTTACATTTTAATAGGCTTTTTATATCAAGTCCAACACAGGTTTAGTTGTGAAACTGAAGGAAAATGTAATTTGCTTTTTGTTTTCATACTTTATTCATTTATTTTTAACAGAAAAAAATTGAATACATCTGGAATGGAAAGTGTCTTGTCCTCCCATGGTCACAAGTGGGTATTCAGTTATAAGATGAACTGTTACCACTGTCGCCACCAATAGTTCTCTCATAAAAAGATCCTTAGACCTAAAAGTCTGAGTTTTGCAGCTCCTACAGCCTCGTGGCTGCTTCTCCCTGGTGCCGGTGTCGGTGGAATGTCGGGTCATTTCATATGGTTTTATGTAACCCTTTGTTGAACTACTTCACAACTTTGTCCCTGACCTGTCTCCTGTGTTCCTTAATCTTTATTATGCTCTCTGTACATTGATATTTAATAAACCTCTTCACAGAACAGTGCTACACTGAAGTGAAATTGGACATAAGTGAACTCTTTTTTTTTTTTTTTTTTTTTTTTTTTTTTTTTAATTTTTTGCATTTAGGTTTACTAAGGAAAAGTTGGGGTTTTTTTGAAATTACATGTTAATTTTTT